ATATACTCTTGTCTAGTTATCTAGTAATGCTATAACATAAGACCACAAGTGGGCAACTTTAACAAATAGAAAATTATTTTCCAATAGTTTGTTGTTGTTGTTAGGTACCGATTCATAGCGACCTTATGCACAGTAGAACGAAACACTGCCAGATCCTGGGCCAACCTCACTACCTACGGTTGCCATGCTTAAGTCCATTGATGCTGCTACTTGGCCAATCCATCTTGTTGGGGGTCTTCCTCTTTTTTACTGACCCTCCACCTTACCAAACATGACATCCTTCTCCAGCGACTGGTCCCTCCCGACAACATGTGCAAAGTATGAGAGATGAAGCCTGGCCATCCTGGCCTCCAAGGAGCACTCTTGGCTGTACTTCTTCCAAAATGGATCTATCTACTGGTTCTTTTGATAGCCCATGGCACTTTCAATATTCTCTTCCAACACCACAACTCAAAAGCATCAATTCATCTACAGTCTTCCTTATTCACTGCCTAGCTTTTGAATGCATATGAGGTTATTGAAAACACCATGGCTTGGGTCAGGCACACCTTGCTCTTCAACACTTTAAAAGGGTCTTGTGCAGCAGATTTGCCTAATCCAATAGTTTAGAAAGCTAGGAATCCTAATTCAGAGCACCAATTCTACGAAAAGGCTTTCATTGTCAGCGCCAAAGGAACTCCTTCCCTTCTGAGCTTCAGCTCCTGGCTGGCTTGGCATGAGTCTTATCTTAACTCAGCTTCCTAGCTTGCTTGCTCAATCTCTTTTAGGTCTCAAAAAAGATCAACTCAAAATATACCCTACATGAATCCTGCCTCACTGACAGAACAGAGACCACCCATTCTCAAATGGGATTATAATCACAGGCACAGAGATTAGGATACATACCACATATTCTAGGAGAACACAATTCACAATCTGTAACAAAGTCTTATATGAGGGGGTTTCAAACAATTTTTGGAAAAATTCAGTTATCCAAATTCCATTTTTCAAAAAACTTTTTGAAGTCCCCTCATCTACTTTTTCTACAAATCTCTCAGAGAACACTAACTAATTATCCTCAGAAATAAACTTCAAAATAGTAACTACAAACAGTTGGATTCTATGCCATGAAAAGTATGTAACACTAAAGTTCTGTCACATTTAGGCCCTATTTTTATCAAATATCTTTAATTTGCTATCAGCATTTGGGGGACAGAATAATAAATACAATACAGATCATTGGTGGTGATGATGGTATGCCACCACGTCAGTTCTGACTCACAGGGACCCTGTATGGGGTTTCTGAGGCTGTAACTCTTCAGGGAGAAGAAAGCATCACTGAGGTGTGGCTGGCAGATTTGAACTGCTAACCTTGCAGTCAGTAGCCCAATGCGTAATCATTATGCTACCAGGGATACTCCCAATTAACATAACATTTAAATTATACCTCTTCAAAGGTTTTACTGTAGAAAAGGTTGCCTGAGAGCTGTCCAAGGAAGTGTGAGTTTGACACTCCCATCACTGAAATGCCTTCGTCTCCTGCCCATTTCTCATGAATAGCATACCAGAGATCCTGTGTGTTAACCAATGTGTGGATTTGTATATGAAAATTATGATAATTGAGTGATTTCTCAAGTTGTGCAATGACTGGCTAGAATCTGGACATGATATACTCAACTTTACATTAATTTGGCAAATACAAACTACCAGACTTAATTTTGATAATTTCTATGATCTTTTCCTTTCACTTACCTTGATGAGATATCTGGTAATATCCCTTCCAGCAATATCAAGTCTCCTGGTAAGGTGTGGGAGAGAAAAGCCTTCATAAACTGGGCAAATGTGAGTTACACCGTCTCCAGAATCTACCACTACACCAGTCAGTAAACCTGTGGAAGAACCATCAGAGTTTAAGTAAAAAGCCAAATCTGAAAATCAAAGCCATCAATAAGTTTCAAATATTAGTAAAGATGTCAAATGAACAACTTGGTAGTGGCTGTATGTTGTGTAGTCGGTTCTGACTCATAATAGCACCCTGTTTAGGGTTTCTGAGGCTGCAAATGTTTATGGGAGCAGAAAGCCTCATCTACCTCCCGTCAAGTAGCTGGTGCAATCAAGCTGCTAACCTTGTGGTTAGGAACGAAATGCACAACCTACTAAAAGCCACCAGAGCTCCTTAAACAACTTTTAACAGCTTAACCAACTGGAAAGGTCTAGAAGCCAACATGTCTTTATGTGATTGTTTTGAAGTTGTTTCTAGTATCTACCGCTAAAACTGGGTAGACTCTGACTCATTGCAACCCTACAGAACAGAGTAAAACTGCTCAATAGGGTTTCTAAGACCGTAAATCTGTGGCGGGAGAGGCTGGTGGGTTTGAACTGCCACCCTACATATTAGCAGCCCAATGTTTAATCTCTCATGTCTCTTTATGAGGCTTTTAATCTAATCATGTGCTACCCTAGAAGATGAAAAGAAATAGACCCTTAGCGTCTTAGGAATGGAAAATACAAGTTCTTAAAGCTCATTTTTTTTCCCAATTTAATTTTCATCCCCAAATACCCTTGAATTGCATTTTCTAAAGCATTGTGGGTTACTTTTATGAGAACCACTATGAAAGGTTAGTATTACACTAAGTTGATAGTTATTGTGTATTGTCGAGTTGGGTCTGACTAATAGAGACCCTGTTCAGGATTCTCAAGAGCAGCTGGTGGGTATGAACTGCTAACATTGTGGTTACCTGACCAGTGCTTATCCTACAGTGCCACCCCATGGCCAAAGTTGATAGTGAACCTGTTGAAATAATCTAGTATTTCTGCTACATGTTGTTGTTTTTAGCTGCCATCGAGTCAATACTGACTCATAGCGTCCCTACACACACAGAATGAAACACTGCCTGGTCCTGGGCCATCCTCACAATCACTGCTAGGCTTGAGCCCATTCGCTGTCACCACTAGGCCAATGCATCTTGTTGGGGGTCTTCCTCTTTTTCTCCTATCGTCCATTTTACCAAGCATGATCTTCTTCTCAGTGAATGGTCCCTCCTGATAATATGTCCAAAGTATGAGAGACAAAGTCTGGCCATCCTGGCTTCCAAGGAGCACTGTGGCTGTACTTCTTCCAACACAGATCTGTTTGTTCTTTTGACATTTCATGGTACTTTCAATATTCTCCTCCAACACCATGACTTAAGCACATCAATTCTTCTACAGTCTTCGTTGTTCACTGTCCAACTGCCATATGCATATGAGGTTATTGAAAATACCATGGCTTGGGTCAGGCACAACTCAGACCACAAACTTACATCTTTGCTCTTCAACACTTTAAAGAGGTCTTATGCAGCAGACTTGCCTAATGCAATGTGTTGTTTGATTGCTTGACTGTTGCTTCCATGAGTGTTGATGGCTGATCAAAGCAAAATCAAGTCTTTGACAACTTCAGTCTGTTCTCCACTTATATGGATGTTATTTATTAGTCCAGTGGTGAGGATTTTTGTTTTCTTTACATTGAGGTGCATACCGAAGGCTGTGTCGTCTTTGATTTTCATCAGTATTTTAAATCCTCTTGGCTTTCAGCAAGCAAGGTTGTATCATTTGCATATCAAGTTGTTAATGATTCTTCCTCCTATCCAGATGCCACATTGTTGTTATAGTTGCTGTTATGTGCTGTGGAGTCGGTTCCAACTCATAGCGACCCTGTACAGGGTTTCCAAGGTTGTAAATCTTTATGGGAGCAGAAAGCCTCATCTTTCTCTCACGGAACAGCTGGTAGTTTAGAACTGCTGACCATGAGATCAGCAGCCCGATTTGTAACCACTATGCTAGTGGAGTTCCTTGTGTCCCTCAAAAATATGTGTTCTAATGAAACAAGTTATATGAATGGTTGAATGTGAAACTGATGATGTGCCCTGTAAACTTTCACTCAATCCACAATAAAAACCTTAAATTAAAAAA